GCTTCTGCTTCTGCTTCTCCTCGTTGTCGCGTTCGCTGTCAACGGGCCTGTCAACTTGTCGTCCCGACCACCATCGGCTGCCTCTGCTTCAGCTTGACGTTCCTCTGGTTATTTGCATTAAAAATATTATTCATTGCAATCACGAGGATTTGCACAAAAATGTGCTGCAATGAGCCCTTTTGGCCATATGCGAGGCGGGCCGGGCCGGGGATGGCTGGCGCCGCTTTGTCTCGAGCGGATAATGAAATAGTTGTGACACAATTTGGCAGTGCCCAACAGAAGAAGAGAAGCGCAACTAAAGAGTTATTCTGGATGTGATAAACGACCAAATCCTGAATGATAAGTTGCAAAAATAAGCGCTTATTAAAATGGAAAAGCAGGGGAAGCGAGAGACTGAAAGAGAGATTTTCATTCACATAGAATACATATATATTTATTAGTTAGTATTACTATCAATAGATTCGTACATATACTTCCTTAGATATATATCCCATCACAAGTCTCATATCGTTGCGTGCATTCTATCATTGCATAAGTAATAGCTAGTCAGGCCACTTAGGGGCAATTTTTGTGGCTATGCTGTAAGCGTCGGCAGTCAGAGTATAATTAGACCGGCTGATAACAAACTTCCATTAAGTGTGCAGCAACAATAACATGGCAACTAATTGCCGTGAATTTCAACAGATATGCGACTAATATGCAGTTGCCGCCTTCAAAGTGTGGCAATAAATGGAAAATGCACAGCGACAGCAACGCTTTGAAGTTGCCCCATGTTGCAACAGCAACAGCAACAGCAACAGCTACGGCAGAGGCAACGGCATGTGTGGAGTGTGTCTGAGGCCAGGAGCTGATAAATTGGAAGTGCATTTGACACCGTAGCTGTTGTAACTGCAGAAGATGTTGCTGTTGCTGTTGCTGTTGCTGCTGCTGCCATTGCTGTTGCTTGTAATGTTGCTGCTGTTGCTGTTGCTAATGTGAACGTTGTTGCTGCTGTTGCTGTTGCTGTTGCCGTCGCTGTGGCTGTCAGTAAGGCGCGTGTCTTGGGCTGGCTGGCCCTGGCGCTGCATTTGCATTTGCATTTGTTGTCATCGTCTTCGTCTCGACTCTGGCGGCTCCGTTAATGAAAACGCCAAACGAGGCAGCGTCCGCAGTTGCCATAGTCATTTCCCGCCGCCGACCGCGCGTTTCCCTCGCCAGCTGTTGCAGCAACTCATACGAGCGGAGCTGAACGTGTATTCCTTGACAGCGGCAACACTGTCAGCTATTGTTGCTGACACAGCGCGTTGAACGACTACAAGATGCTCTGTAAACGCAGATTTACTCTTGGTTAAAAAACTAAAAATAGAAAACAGAGCAAATAGTAAAATAAATAAACACATAATAAATAAAAGTATAATGAGAATAAATAACTAAAATTTATAAAAAAAAATAACTACATATAGAAATAAATAAATAAAGTCGAAATACAACTTTTTTTAAATATATTTTTACCATATTTATATAAACTTATATTTAACAAATTGTGAAAACTGCAAAATAAATAATAATATTAAACAGATAAATAATAAGACAAATAAATTAATTAGAAATTAACATACAATAAATATAAGTGTCCTTTTTAAGAAATAAAAAAAATGTAATTTAATTTTATTTATTATTTCCTTTACATATATTCATTTTTTTTATATCTCTCCCATTGCTGGGTATAATTGCAATTCTGTGGCATCGCTCTCTACTCCATGTTGGCACTGGTCTAAATGAAGATGCCGCCTTCCAGCTGCACATCATCCAAAGCCGCCAACTCCCAGCCCAGCTCAACAGTCACGCTTGCTTGTCAAACACTCGCGACACTGTCCTGCCCCTTGCCAGTGCGCCGCGCAGGCTCCGTAGCATGCATCGGGTCTCTGTTCGCTTGGTAAAATGCATTTGCATATTTGTATCCTTATGCCTGCCAGTTAACCCGCACCGTCTGTCCCGCCGGCCCCGCCTCCATGCGCGCCCCCTTTCGCGTCGCCTAACTACTTTTCCTGTCTCCCCCATTTGCAGGCAAGCGGCGCGGCTTTTAACGACAAAGTGTGAAATTTCATTGAATTTGAGCTCGTTGACAAAAGTGGAATGGCAACAGCAACAGCAACAGCAACAGCAACAACAGCAACAGCAGCAGCAACCATTGCAGTGGTGCAGGTGTTGTTGCTGTTGCTTTTGAAAATTAATTTAAATTATAGTTTTTGTTATCGTCGCATGCTTTTTAAGCGCATATTAGCCGAGGAGCAGTGGGAGCAAATGCGAACAGCGAACTGCTAGTGGGGTGATTGGAGTAGATTGGATGTGGATGGGGGCAATGGGGCATGGGGAATATTTTTCTGTGGAAGCAGCTAATTTTGTGGAAAATGATAGCCGCAATTAATATGCCGTCAACATCGTTGTCCTTGTGCATTATAATTTTATGCAAATTTGTAGCACGCTGAAATTGGAGTAGACGAATGGACGTAGCTGGCAGGAGTCGGCGGGCGGGCGCTGCGAGGGCGCCTGCAATTTTTGCTACTGTTTGGCATAAGTGGTGTCATGTGTAATTGACAATGAATGAGAACTGACACATGCTGTAAATTTGCAGTGGGGAATTGAGATGGAATGTTGAACAGAGCTCCAGCCAATTATTCATATGCGCAACGCGATAGTGTCCGGGCCAGTGTCAAATGTGCTCCATCAAGGCAGCAGCTCACCTTAAATTTCATTTCATGTTTCCAACTCAATATGCTTTCAGATCAAAAGTCAACAGTACAAAAATGTCGAGCAAACACTTTACAAAAACTTCTGTAACCTATGAGGAGCAGCTGAATCAACTCATCTTAAAGCTAAAGGAGCAGAAGCTGAGCAGCAAACCGAAGAAGCCGACGATCGATGAGCACCGCAAGCGTCTGCACACCGACTACAATATTGTCGATGGACGGAAACTGGACGTAAACCGAGACAGGAGCAAACCCATATCAAAGTTCTCGCCATGTCGCCCCAGTCGAAAATGCGTAGAGTGTCAGCAAAAGGTCAGCGGGAAGGAGAGCTCCAAGGCTGTGAACGAAAAGCTGAAAAACTTTAAATTTAATTTTCCCATGGCAAGTGAAATTAAAAAAGTCGAGAGTATCTCAGGGAAGCTGGACTGCACGAAGAGGCCCAATCGAGAGAAAGTTGAAGAGGAAGCCTCCAAAAAGAAGGAAACAAGGAAGCAAAGGAAACGTCCCGTCGCACAACATCAACTGGACCGAATGTACTTCGTGCTGGACACCAATGTGCTCATGGATAATCTCCAGCTGTTGGAAGACGTCTCCAAGCTAACACTGCGCGACACTGCGGGCAGCATACTCTATATACCCTACATGGTCCTCAAGGAACTGGACTCGCTCAAGTGCAGGCAGATGACGAGCTATGCGGCCAGGCGTGCCATAGAGTACCTCAATGACAAGTTCGACGATCGCGAGCCAATCGAGGCACAGTCGGCGCTGGAGGACGCGGACCAGCTCATCGATATAGACAGTGGAGACGACAGCATCATCAACTGCTGCCTGCAGCTGAAGGAGCAGCTGGACCTCATGATTTTGCTGACCAATGACAACAATCTGCGACTCAAGGCTCTGGCCTCCTCCATTCGCGTCGCGACATGCTACCAGCTGATCAGCTACAGGAGCAACTGGTGGAGCCAGCCCAGGGAGCGGCGGCCAGCCCACAGGCGCCACAAATACAGAGTTGGATATTAGGTTTTAGTTCTCGATTCACTTCTTTCATTTATTCAGTTTTTTTTTTCAGTTTTGTGTTTATATTTGTCTTAAATTCATTTGTGTTAATTTTTGTGTGTTCTCTGTTAAAGCGACGCGAAAAGAAATTCGGCAAGTGTGTGTCCTTTAATTACAACGGCCATTGGGTGAGCAACATCAATGCATAAAACAATCTCAACTTTTGGCCAAATGACTGCGAGAGAAGCAGCAACAACAGCAGCAGCAGGAGTCGGGGCCTACACACACAACAGCAGGACGAACATATCCCACTGACAATATATCTACGACCAACTTTCGCTCGCTAACGAACTTTTTCTATAAATCAAAATAATAACTTCTAAGCTGTGTGTGAAGGGGGATGATGAAGGGAGGGGAGCGGTGGGGTGGGTGTTGGGGTTACATGGCTTTTCCACATGGCGCTCTACGTCGAGTCTACGCATTGGGAACGTACACTTCCCGTTATTTTCTGCATTCTGGTGTCTTTTTGGGTTGTCATCAGCAAATGTTGCAGCACGCAGAGATGAAAGCAGCGAGGCTTGGCCGGAAAGGCGCAACCACAAAAGATGGAAGCAGAGAGGAGAGAGCAGCAGCAACAGAGAGGAGAGGGAAGAGCAGAACGACACTCACTTACGCAGAGCATGCGATAAATTTAATAAATTACAAACCAAATCCGCAAATTTGTTGAATTTCCAGAAATAAAAAGGCAGAAAGGACGCCAAATGACTGTGGGGCCAGGAGCGTTCCTCCTGACTGCTGCCTCCTGCCTGCTGCCTCCTGCCTGGTGGCTAAGGCGCCAAATGGCAGTGGCGACATTTGCACGGCATTTGGGGAACATGTGAGACAGCAGCTGCTGCACGTGCGTGTGTGTGCGAGAGAGAGAGGGGGAGAGTTGGGTGAGATGAGAAGAATGTTTGCATTTTGCGGGCAAAAGTTTTACTGTAAATTGCTTTTAATCTAATGAACACCGCTAGAGCATCCGCTCGAGAGGCGTGAGCCGAGCCGAGCCCAGCGGAGCCACTACGACAAACGACCCCTGACGTTAGAGTCATTTTTCCTCGGCGGTTTCATTAGAAAATTACTTAAGCTGAAGGCGCACGTATTTACTTACTAGGTGAGCGCCTGGCTGCCGTCGGTTTGGGGTCCGGCAAAGGGTTATCTATTTTGGCTAAATAGCCGAGCTGCAGGCAAGCTGAAGCCAAGCTGGGGCTAAGCTGGAGCCCAAGTAAATAATTATTTGGTTTTTCTCTCTCAATTTTCTTTCGATTGGAAAACAAACGTAAAGCCTTACACATTGACTGCCTTCTCCGTGGTGACGGCCGCCATTTGGGCCTGCACATCCTGCCGAAGCTTCTGCAGGATCCACTCGCGGCTCGTGCAGGGCATATTGGGATTGTTCTCGTAGTTCATCGGCTGGTTCTCGAAGACGTCGTGCAGCTCGTGGCAGTCCGTATTGGAGACGTTGCGCCAGCCCTTGTCGGTGATGTGATAGAGCCGCACTATGCCGCCCGAGTAGGCGTCCTTCCTGGTGGCGTGATAGATGGCGCGACGTGCCAGGTCGTAGGCCTCCTCGTTGCTCAGGTCCCAGCGATAGCCGGTGTCCAGCACGCCCAGGGCGTACGGCGAGCCGCTGCCCACGGAGAAGACACTGCCGTGCGATCGCATGCCCTCCGAGTCCACGTAGATGAGCTTGCTGCCCTCGTCGTCGCAGCCGGCCAGGATCATGCCCATGACGAGGCCCATGCCCTTGTACTCCGCGCAGATGTTGCACATCATGCGGGCCGCGGCGTCCACCGAGATGCGGCGCTTGTAGCGCAGCTCGTGCAGCCGGCATTCGCGGGCCAGCACGCGGTCCCAGTACACGCAGTCCGCAGCGCCGCCGGCCAGGGTGCCGAGCATATAATTATTCAGCTCCACGATCTTCTTCATGGTCTGCGAGCCGATGTACTCGCCGGAAGTGGCCCGCGAGTCGGCGCACAGCACCACGCCCCCCTGATACTTGAAGCCCAACGTCGTCGTGCCATGATCAAACTCCATGCGCACCTTGCAGTGCTCCAGAATTTTTGGCAGATTTACGGCTGGCTGCAAGCGAGGGATGCGGGATGATCAGTGGTTAATTAATAATTTACTGTAGCTCATAATAATGGGTCACTCGAATACATTTTCGAAGGGCGGAGCCATTAATGAATAGGGATTGGTGAAGTTGCTGGTGGCTATTTGAATCTGCTGCAGATCCCACTTCTTTTGCACCTCATCGAACTTGTTCATGAAGGGCAGCTTGTTCACGCCCGATATCGCCTCTAAGGCCATGTCTAATGTCTAAGAGCGAACAGCTAATTTTGAGAAATTTTTAAAGGGCCAAATACTAAATCTGAAAAGGGCTTAGAAAAATAAGTTATGAAGTTTAAATCAGGGCGACATGGGCTAAAAGCACATTTCCCAATTGGAATATAATGAGACAATTCTGAAATTGAGTAAAGTTAACAGAGAATATTGTAAAATATAGAAAGCGACCAAAATTTGCAATCTGGAAGAATTCAGAAAATAAATATTGAAATTTAAATCATAGTGAATGGGTTTCCAATTAAAATTACATCAGCTTATAAGAAAAATGGGAGCTGTGTAAGGCCTAATACAAATTTTAAAAATTGTTAGACTCAAATTTTAAATCCTAAATAAATAATGAATAATATTAAATATAGAAGTAAAAATAAATACAAGTACAAAATACAGCGACTTTTCCTACTTCGGAAATAATAAGAGAATTTATAAAACGGATTATATGTTCAATACAGACGATTTTAGAAAATATTGAGAAAAATAGTAGTCTATGTAAGAACTGAGAAACAATTTTCTAAAATTTGCACAACATACACATTCGTTAAAATGAGAAAATCATGTTGAAATAGGAAACAAAGCAATTTCCCAAATGGAATAAGTTAAGCTAATAAGGAAATCGTGAAAATGTGTGAGAGTAAACAGACAATTTTGTAAAATTACGAAAATAGTGAAATTCTGAATATATATAATTAAATGTTGAAATCATGGTGAGGAGAGACATTTCCCAATTAGAATAACTCAGGCTAATAGGAAAATTCATTTCGCTTGTAAATTTACTTGTTTATTGAGTTTAAGCAAGCACTACATTCATGCTCTGATGTGCATCTGTGCAGTTTTCAGTGGAAGCAGCGGCCAATTTGCCGTCTTAGCCCAAATCTCGCACTTCACTTGGCGTCATCTTGGCCTTGGCTCAGAGTCGCTCTTGTTAAAACAGGTTGAGCTAAGCTCCAATTAATTGCCAAGTCGCTAGAAGGAGAGGCTGAAAATAAGAATGAGAATAAAGCAGGAGGCGGATTGGAGCGGTGGAGCGTTGGAGCTGCTGCCCTCTAATAAACTGGCAGCGGAAATTTTTAACAAGTTGCCGTTTGCCAGTTCCCGCCTGGCCAGAGCTGTAATTAACGCACACACACACACACACATACATATATTCGCTAAAAAGATGAAGCTGGATCCCTTGCTTGTAACTTGCGACTTTAATGCAGCTCAGAGCTAAACTAGTCGGGATTTTGCATATCAGATTGCCACTGCTTGCTGCCAGCTTCCAGCTCCCAGCTTCCAGTTCTCCTTGTGATTTAATAATCAGCCAAAGTGCCAACTAGCAACAACTGCTGCGACTCCTGCTACTGCTGCTACTACTCCTGCTGTTGTTACTGCTGCTGCAGCTCCTGTTCCAGCCAAATGAATGGCTTGGCGCTGTTGCATGGCCATTAAGAGGACAAACGAACTGCGAACTGGAGGCGCGTGCAAAATGAAATGTGGCCAACATGTGCTGCAACACACGCAGCCCCCAGAGAGCAGACGACACACTCTCATGCGGAGTCATTGGTGGACACAGGTTGCAGCTGCCAATTTGCATAAATTTGGATCAGTGACAATTGACGTCCGCATACAGGGCAGAAATATTTTGTCTGCCTCTCACTGCCCTCGTCCTTGTCTCTGTCCCTCTCTCTGTCTCTCTCTTTACGCTCCTCTCACTAAATGCCACCAAACATTTGCAATTGTCGTTTAATTAGAAGCCAAATCGTTTGCTCTGCTTTTCAGGTAATTTGAATGCTAGCCTCCCCTCTCTCGCCCGCCCACTCTCTCTCTCTTTTATACTCTACTCAGGTGTTGTTACCACCGGCTGTCCAATTAAAATGTCATGTTTCTTCACGATGGCGCCAAACGTCTCTGACGGCAGCACATGATTCAGTTCTCTGTGGGCGTTGTCTGGTCATTGCAGCTGTCTCTGCTACCGCAGCACCTGGCTTAATTAGAGGTAATCGTGTCTATGACCCAGAGTCTAGCATTTGCAATTAGTGAGCGAATCTGCATATGATAAGTACGATTTTCGGATACACCTAATCTTTCACTCTTAAGTAGCTTTGTCAAACTGTCTTTCAATTTGGAGCAACAGCAAATCCTCTACAAGCGCCATAACCACCTCTAAGTAGATCTGTGATAACATCGATTAATCGTTTACTTGATGTTTGCTCCCATCGCTGGTTCGAGCCAGCGATGTTATTCATGGTACCATCTGTCTTTCAGAAATGTTTCAGAAGTGTTGATAGCTTAGCCTATTTCAGGCTAGATGTCGCCTGTTTAGCCTGTATCCTGTGGTCCAGCGCTATTTTTAACATATTTCTAGCATATTTTCGAGGTCATATAGAAATTTATGTTATAGCATTTTACTCCATTTAGCACAGTATTTGATAAGGAAATCATTTTTTACGGTGTACTAATATATTTAGTATAGTAGTAGAATATGTGTACAGATAATACATATGTATCAAAATAGAATTTCTTGAAATGATTAAAAAGAGAATGGTTTACCCTAATCCTGTTATTTATAATTTTTGGAATTTATTTTAATACATTTTTTATTCTTACAAATAATAAATGCAAATTTACATATTCAAAAAAAGAAAAAATTAAAATGAAATACATTTAAATATATTTTTGAAAAATATTTAAATATATTTTGAAAAATTTTTAAATATATTTTGAAAAATATTTTTAACAGAATTAATTTTTGCATTTAATATTTTAATAATTGTCAAATAAATATTCCCATTCTTACTTAACGTACAAGATCTCAAGCTTAAGATCTGGTTAGATTACCATAAGTTAAGAGTACATTTATATATTAACACGAAGTGTCTTCAAGGGTCTGTTATTACTATTGTTGTAGCGGCAGATGTTTCTCTGGTTTCATTCACACGAAGGCTTACAGGGTATTAGACGCACTTGGGGCAAGAGTGTGCGCTGTAAATGTTATTTATTTTAATTTCATTTTATTTAACTTTGCTTTCAGTTTGCTTTATTTACACGGCTGCTTAAAATTATTGTTTCAAAATCTGACAAATCCTTTGTTTTACTGCTTATTGGCAGTAAAAGTTTCGTGGCACAACTTTTAAGCTTGCTTAAGGCGGCGGACAGAGCGACAGCCAGAGCCAGAGATTTGGCTGCCAGAGCGTGTTTGGGACAGCTTTCATCATATACAGAAGTTTTGACTTGATGCTGCGCTGCCAGTTCCACACCCAGCCCCCGCTCCCCGCCCACGAGTCTTCCTAGCTGAGCTCCACAGGCACTATCAACGAGACAGCCACATCCAATTTACAGTTCATCATCCGAGCAGTGCGCGGCCTGCCTCGCGCAGGCCTTGTCGAACCGGCAGCTCCGTACGTAAATTTTGACAGTGCGGCTAATTGAGCCGCAAACAGTTTTGACATTTGCGACCGCGCGCGCCGCATTTAATTTATTTTAATTTGAAACGGTCACGCGGCGCGCGTTAGCCCGGCCTAATCCTGCGCTCTAGCCGCCCGCCCCGCCCACTGGCAGCCAGTTCAAAGTTGAGGCTGCAACTGAAACCGAAATGGAAACTTTTGCCAACTTGCTTATTAGGTCAACTTTGGCTGACAGCTCGTGACGTGGCCGGCCGCTGCAAGGAAAAGACAGATGAGCCAAGAGAGACAGAGACAGAGACAGATACACAGAGAAAGAGCGAGAGCGACTGATAGAGATTGAGGGAAAGCTAACCAAGAAGGGAATCAGAGAGCCAAAGCAAAACTATTTTTACAGCCGACTCGCTAACAAAGTATCCAATTTTTACGACGATGCATTAAATTAAAAAGTTTTCGAATGCTTCGCTATGTCCCCCAAGCCTGGCATCAATAATGCCCTAACCAAAATAAAAAGTCGAGGAATACAACGGATCTCTGCTTGACTTTGGCCTATGCCAAGCATTTCATTTCAGTCCATCATTTCAGCACTTTAGCTGTAGAGCATCCAGATGGCAGACTGTGCTCCGATTGCGGTCCTTCCGGCAACAACTTTGGTTGCTTTTAACGACTTTGCATTGGTTGCTTTTCTTCTCCTTCCTTTTCTGCTCTTTTTTTGCCAATGCGAAAAGGCCGCACATTGGGCAGGCCCGAGCTGGAGTCTCGTTTTGCTTTTATGGCTAACAACATATTCGCATTCCATTGCATTTGCACATCCTCCAAGTAGATCCACAGAACTTTTGGCTAATTGTTGCGCTCTGCATTTTTTACGGCACTTTGAAAGCCATTAATTCGCATTTTATGTACTTAATTAGTTTGCTGGGCGCAATTTTACGACGCACTTTCGAGCACTGACTCGTAAATTTTGATGATCGATTTGCATCGATGCGCAAAGTTTGAAGTGCCGAGTGCCCGCCGGCTCCTCCCACCCAAAAACTCTGAGAAGTTCTGAAGAGATAAGCCGACTCTCAACTTGCATTTTATAGCTCACACGTCGTACAATGGCTTGCTCGGGTAAGGAATTGAATTTCATGGGTCCCCGACATCAGAGTTCGGCTTAAGCCTATTTAAGGTTCTTAGCGCTTGGCAGCAGACGGGTCTAAGATCTAGTGGAAGTTGACCTTCTCAATTCTCGAGGATTACACAGACAGTTTAACATAATGTTAATTTACTCTTAAGCCCTTACAGGCAATCACAGTTGGCCATATGTCGATGGTGGTCTCCGTTGCCATTCAGTTGTGTGACATTTGTGCAATTGGCAGGGAATGAAGCGCTCTGGTTTTAGCTTGAATTTCAGATGAGATGCCGTGACGTGACGTGACGTGACGGGTCATCGGTAGCCCCTGTTAGCTATGCAGCCGAGCCGTCAGCAGGATCAACAACAGAGAGCGGAACAAAAAACACAACTGGAACGGAAAAGCGTTTTCATTGTTTGCTAAAACGCGCTAAAAGGCAGCGCAGCACAAGGCACGCACGCGCGTCCGAAACCCAGCGGGCGGTCTTTGTTGTCCAAATGCGTGGAGGAGAACAACAAAAAGAAGGAATTAAAAGAAAAAAGAGGTAATGACCAGAAGAGCTGC